AATAACTTCATTCCTAATCTTATCTAACCTGGTGTACCCACACATCCATCTCAACATCTCGACATGGGAGCTCTTGACTGGCCAATACCCAGCCACATACAACATAGCTAATCTGACCACCACTCTATAAAACATACCTTTAAGTTTTGGTGGTACCTTCTTGTGATACAAAACAATGGAAGCAAGTCTCCATTTCATCCATCCCGCCCCAATACGATGCGTGGCATCTTCATCAATCTCTCCACCCCCTGTATAATAGGCCCTAGGTACTTAAAACTTCCCCTCCTAGGGATGACTTGTGAATCTAGCCTCACCTCCCATTCGACTCGCCGAGTAGCACCACTAAACTTACACTCCAAGTATTTTATCTTGGTTCTGCTTAGCTTAAAACCTTTAGACTTCAGGGTCTGTCTCCACACCTCTAACCTCACGTTAACACCATCTCGTGTCTTGTCAATCAAAATAATGCCGTCTTAAAATAACACGCACCATGACACCTCTCCTTGGATGTAGCGAGTCAGTACGTCCATCACCAAGGCAAACAAAAAAGGGTTGATTACCGACCCCTGATACAATCCTATCATGATCGGAAAATAGTCTGAGACCCCTCCCACTGTCCTCACACAGGTCTTCACTCCATCATACATGTCTTTAATCACCTTAATGTAGGCCACATGTACCCCTCTAACCTCCAAACATCTCCACAGAACCTCCCCCGGGACTTTATCGTAAGCCTTTTCTAAGTCGATGAATACCATATGCAAGTCCCTCTTCCTCTCCCTATATTGTTCCATCAATCTCCTAATAAGGTGAATGGCTTTCGTAGTCGAACGCCCCGACATAAACCTAAACTGGTTCTCGTAAATAGACACACTTCTCCTCACCCTTAGCTCCACACACCCTTTCCCATACCTTCATAGTATGACTAAGTAGCTTAATACCCCGATAGTTGTTGCAATTTTGGATATCACCCTTATTCTTGTACAAAGGAACCATCGTGCTCCATCTCCATTCTTCGTGCATATTTTTTGTCCTAAAAATGACATTAAATAACCTAGTGAGCCACTCCAAGACCGCTCTGCTGATACTTTTTCAAAACTCCACCGGGATTTCATCTGTCCCGGTCACTATGCCCCTGATCATCTTACTCATAGCCCCCACAACCTCCTCAATTATAATACGCCTACAATACCCAAAGTCACAACGACTCTCGGAGGATCCCAAATCACCCAGAACAATGTCTCTGTCCCCCTCCTCGTTCAAGAAACTATGGAAGTAAGTCTTCTATCTTCGACGGATATGTGCCTCATCCAACAAAACTCTACCTTCTTCGTCCTTGATGCACTTCACTTGGTCCAAGTCACGAGCCTTTCTCTCTCTCATATTGGCTAGCCTAAACAGCCTCTTATCCATGCCTTTACCCTCAAGTTCTTCATATAAACGACTAAATATTGCAGTCTTAGCCGCTGTAACTACTAACTTCGCCTCCTTCCTAGCCAACTTACACTGCTCCTTATTCGACCTCTTCTCCTCCTCGTCAATGCTTTTCACTAGCTTCAGATACATCGCTTTCTTGGTATTCACCTTTCTTTGGACCTCACCATCCCACCACCAGTCTTCATTGCGACTATCATAGTAACCCTTCGAGACCCCTAAAACCTCTCTGGTAGCTTCCTTAATGCACTACACCGTCGTGGTCCACATCAGGCTCGCATCCCCACTACTCCTCCAAGCTCCCATAGTCAACAACTTAACCCCCAACTCCTGCGCCTTGTCTTCAGTAAAGGCTCCCCACTTGATCCTAGGTTGGCCATACACCACCCTCTTCCTCTTCTTCCTCGTGATCTCAAGGTCCATGACTAGGAGCCTATGAAGGGTTGTGAGGTTCTCACTTGGGATGACCTTGCAATCCGTGCAAAGACCTTTATCGGACCTCCTGCTGAGTAGATAGTCAATCTGGGTCCTGGGCACCGAGCTCCGGAAGGTGACAAAGTGTTCCACCTTCTTCGAAAAATTCGAGTTTGCTATCACCAAATCAAACGCTCTAGCAAAATCCAGCAGTGAAGTTCCCCCTCTATTTCTATCTCAAAAATCGAAACCACCATGCACATCATCATAGCCCCTAGACGTCGCTCCAATATGGCCGTTGAAATCTCCTCCAATAAAAAGCTTCTCAGTGTGCGGCATACCACACACCATCTCATCCAGATTCTCCAGAAAGGCCTCTTGATTTCCTCATCCAAGCGTGCTTGGGGCGCGTACGCACTGATTATGTTCAAAGTAAATCCACCAACAACTAGCTTAATACTCATCAGCCTGTTGCTCACTCTCCTAACCTCCACCACTAAATCCCAGAGGTCCTTATCAACAAAACTACCAACCCCGTTCCTGCCTCCCGTGCTCCTAGAAAACCATAATTTAAACCCGTCTGCATCCCGTGCCCTACCTCCTACCCATCTAGTATCTTGTACACAAGCTATATTAATCTTCCTCTTCCAGCGAATCTTCGCTAACTCTATAGACTTTCCAGTCAAAGTTCCTATGTTCCAAGACCCAAATCTCAGCATGGTGGCTCCCTTAGCCCTCTTACCCCCTTACCCCCACCCAACCCCCCGCAATAACCCTCCGAGGACAAGACCTTACTTTATCATCCTTCACCAAAGTCACTATAATCTAAGGGCCACTACACAAGAACTACCCCCAAAACAAGCGACGAATTTATAAATAAAATAAATTACCGAAATATAATCTTCAACTAAAAGGCACTAAAACGGGCGACTGATTAAAATACACAAACCAAAGGGAATAAATTCTACAACTAGTAGTCACAAAAACAAGCAAACAACGATTCAAGATAAAATTATAAACAATAATCGAAGTTCTTGCTAATGTAATTAGTAAGAGTCAATATGGACAAGATCAAATAAGCAGACAACAGATACGGTTAATGATAAAATAGCAAATATCGAGATAAAGGAGGAACGGTAAAACTAGTGCCACCCCCACCCCCTTTCATGTTCTTCCTTCTGCCCATCTTCTGCGCCCCCCGTCTCCTTTTCCCAAATCTACCCTCCATCCAACCAATTAAACACAAGTTTTTTCCATCATCTCTCGTCCATTTCCTATCTTCTTATCCGATAATACTCAAAATTTACCCCATCCATATTTGAAATTTAAATCCAAAATCTTTTCATAAAATTAATACAAATATAAAATAACATTGAATAGATAAAACAAAGAACCCACTAAGGGATCATTAATGGATCTCGCTAGAAAAAGCTCCTCTCATGCAACCTCTTTCATTGGAAAATTGATCTCCGAGCAAAGCTGAAAAAAGGATTCTACTGGAATATTCAGTCTTTTTTCTTCATCATTTTTTTGACTATGATTTTGGTCTTATATAACTTTTGTTTCTCTAATTTATCATTTTTGGTGTAAAATTATCTTTAATATTATCGGCCGATTCAAATAATTGGTTGTTGTTTGTGTGGAACGTTGTTGAATGAAATAGTGCGTTTATCTAGTGGAAATTTAGTGGTTTTTGCAGTTGTTGTTGCTGCTTCTTTCAACTGGATCAGGACTAGTTTTGGCTTGATGGAACTAGGTGGAGCTTTGAAGGTTACGGGCAGTGGAGTTTTATGATGAAAGGCGGCAGTTTCTGATGATTTACGATGGCTTCGTTGGAGCTTTAGTAGCTGATTTTCATGGCATTTATGGTGGTTTCATGATGTGGTAATGTTGAGGGATGTTGAGGTGGTTTCGTCAAGAAGAAACGAAGAAAAGAGGCTAAGCTGCGGTTATTTCTTGGTTTTTCTCCAAAAGAAAAATATTTAGGCTGAAAAGATGTATTCACGCGCTCAAAAATTTGTTAGCAAATGCACATATGCCACATCAACAATACGTATTTATTTGATCTACTCAATAGACACTTGAAGTATATAATTGATAAAATATTCAGTTGAGGTGTTTGTCTGGGGACAGTTTATATATTTCACATTCTTTTTATATTTTTTTAGCCGATGGCCTATTAGAAACAACCTCTCTGCTCACGCAAAATAGGGGCAAGGTCTGTGTATACACTATCCTCTTCAGATTTCACTCATGAGAACTCAATAGGTTGTTGTTGTTGATTGTAAATTGTAAAAGAAGCAAAATTAAATACACGTGTTAGGATCTTACGTCATGAACACTATTGACAACATTTATCATAAAGATTCTCTATTCTCAAATTCAATACTATACTACCTTTAACTTCTAAAACTCAATTTCTTGTCACTATATCTCGGTTAATTTTTGGAAAAAATACACACTATAACTCCTCCCAAAAGTAATACCCGGTATAATATATATATATTTTATTTTATTTTATATATTTAACTAGTATATATAATTATTTTTGAACGATTGGCAAATATATAACTTTGACTTTTTAGTTAGTGAGTTGCAAGATGCAAAGATAGTTGAAAGAAGAAAGTAATTAGTATTTGACGACTTATAACACTATGTCACATTTACAAAAATGGTAAATCAGAATTTTAAGTGAGTCTAAAATAGTAGTATTAGATTTAAGATTTTCTGGGACAATTTGGTTGAGATTTAGTATAATTGAAGGTAATAAATGAAAGTATTTAATTTATATACATTGACATTGAAATTTATTTTATAATTATTTGTTTGTTTACTATTTGTTGAGATTTTATTATTTTTTATACATAAATTTATTCTTTATAATTAAATCCGGTACGGTAAGAATGGTTTCGCCCCTGAGTACACGGTTAATGTATAAAAATTAAACTTTATGAAACCGCGTCGGTCTAACGTGTGCTTGATATTAGAAGGAAAAGAAAAGAAGGAAACGTATCTTTAAGGCGGGAAAAGAATCGGCTGGGAAAATGGCGGGTTGGTCATACCCAGATTTGTCCCTTGAAGATTTGCTGAAAGCGGTGAAAGGGTTCATAGAAATGGTGAATCTTGCTTCTGGGTATCAATCATCTGGTCGTATTGCTCACTGGGATTCCCTTAACATCAACAAAGCGCTTCAATGGGCTCTCTTTCTCCAGGATGTCAGTGCCCCTCTTTAATCAAACGTTACAAATTCCAGAATTTTAGTTGATTTTACTCTGGTTTTGTTATATGCGGAGAGTATTCTTTTTAAAACTGCGGTAAAATTGCTTTTACCATGTGTGCTAAATTCTCGAAGTTGATGGTCTGCACTTATTTGTTTCTCCCTCTATTCCAATTTATGGACTGAGCATGTAGTTTAAGAAATAAACAGACTTTTTGAGATTTCTATGGTTGTAAAAGCATGCCATTAATGTAAACGTATAAGTTTAAAGTTATATTATTTTCAAATATAGAAAGGTGCAATTCCTTTTCGAACAAACTAATAAGGAAATAATGCCATATAAAATGGAACAAGGGAGTATGATATTATTATGGATCTAAAAATTGAAACAGTATATATATTAACTTCGCCATGGAAGGGTGGAATGGATAGAGAGAGGATTCACATGTTCGGTTCCAACTAGTTTGGGATTGCAGTGTACTAATTGATTGGTTGATTTATATTCTCCTATTATGCAGTCATCATCAATAGTTAACATTGCTGTTGGCTCTACCTTAGCCCATTTTTTGATTTCAAGGATAACTGTCTCAATTATTAAAGGAAAATGAGGAGACAATTCCTCAATTGCTGTTTGTTTCCATGAAAATTATAGATGTGTCTTTTTTGGGTGCTAATGTTTGATCCTAGATCACGAAATGCTAATTTTTGCTATTTTGGTGGAAAATATTGATGCCGTTAGATTGGCCATTGAGATGTCTACATTTGTTTTCTCCGCATTCATGCTAATGTGGAGAACATTTTGGTTATAAAACTTGGTAGCTTTCCTCAATCTAATCGCCTCGTTCTGCCTTTGATACAGGTGATGAGGGACCTGAGTAGCTCAGATGACTACAGAGACTCTTTGGAGGAGCTTGATGCAGCTTTATGTGAAATGGCCTCTAATCCGAGTTTCCCCCAGGTAGTGGATTTCTTAAGTGAGGAGGCGGAGCCAAGATTTCAACTTTATGGATTTTGAATTTTAGAACGACGACTTCAAGTGCCAATAACTGGGTTCTAAATTCAATATTTATACATATTTAATAAACTTTTTACCACAAATACATTCTTTGAGCAAAAGTTACTGGGTTTGATCGAATACGCATACGGGCTTTTAGCTCCGACCCTGCTTACACATCCCTGATGAATTACTTTTCAGTTTGGTTTTTTATGCTGTCTGCATCTCTATGTTTGTTCCATCAGTTTCCATTATTTTCTCTTGCAACTTAATAATTCTGAAAAGAGGCAGGGCTTTCTTAGCTTAATATTTTTAACAGGGTCTAGTACATATTTCCTCGAAGATCCTTAGTAAAGCGACTGATTTCATGTTAGAACATCTCATCAGTGCCTTCCCGCTGAGGGATGGACACCTCAAAGCTTTACTGATTGCAAATGTTGAGATGGATTATCAGATGCACCAAAAGGCAGATGGTAGATCCCTCAATGGATATTTTGAAACTTTGATGTGTAATACATCTAGGAATCCTGTTACTAATGAGAGAAATTTTCTAATGGAAGAATCCATAAACTCGTCGCCAAATTCTTCTCCAAGTGGACAATTTGAGGAGTCAATCAGCTGTGCGTTTTCTCTCTTCACTGCACAAGCTCTTGAAAGGAGGCAACTAACAGTTTCATTGATAGCTTCAGCAGAGACAGGCTTGGATGTTTTGTCTAGTGGCTTAAAAGATCTATATGAGAGGGAGGACGACAATGCCTTGGATGTAAAAGTGAAGCATACAACAAATTTCATGTAAGTGATGTAGACTCTCCGTCTATTTAACATACATGAAGGCCATTTTTCAGGTCAGCATTTGTGTGTCAGCCTCATGAATTCTATAAGCATGTGTGTCTTTTCAAAGAAATTAAAAGTAGAACGTCTAAGCTTCTTCTACATCATGGCAAGGCTGGAATAGTTTCTTATCTTGTAGTTCTGTCTTATTTGAGGTTTTCTTTCGTAACATAGTACAATTTTCAAACCCCAAAGCCTTTGAAGTTAGATAAAAAACAATTCTACGCACCTTACCACTTGCCATTGAAAAGGAGTATGTTGCTCACATTCCTATAAACAAGTTGGATTCCATATGGCGAAAAATCAGCATAATGCCTCTGACCTTCATGGCTATAAAATCCTTATTTCTTGCACCCAAGCTTGTGGCCTAGTAGTCAATGAAGTGGGTTGAGAACCATGAGGTCTTAGGTACAAATCCCAGCGCAAAAAAAGAATTTTGTTTTTTTATTATCTGTCTTAAGCCTCGGTGGACATAGTTACCCGGTACCTGTGCTGGTGAAAGGTAGTGGGTACCTTGTGGAATTAATCGAGGTGCGCGCAAACTAACATGGACACCATGGATATAAAAAAATCCTTATTTCTTGATCCAACAGCATCTTCATTCACAACTATCCGCAATACCCTTTTGGAATAGCAAATTGTACATGATGGTTCAAATTTAGTAAGCTATCTATCAATTTAACAGCACACTAATCATACTTTTTTATTTGATGTCGTCTAACATGATGTCATTTTAATGCTACTGCTCTATAATTGGTCGGAGAGGCTTAAGCTGTAAATGTGAGCTTCAATACTAATGAATACAGTGGAGTGGCAGTAGTATGTAAAAAACTTGATTACTGCCGCCGCTGTCACAAAATCTGATTTGTTCTATAAAAAGTATAGATGACTTGGTGTCTTTCGTAGAGAATCATGTTTTGATGTAGATCCTCTACTTTTTTGGTATACCTCTTGTATACGGGAGCTTTTCCCATTATTGATAAAATTACTTACCTTATAAAAGAAAAGTGATATTTACAGATTTTTTCTTTTCTTCTTACATTGAGTGGTTAAGTATATATGAAACATCATTGTAGTGCAGCAGAAAATTAAGTCTTTTCTTGGTAATGCCCCAAGGACTGAAGAAAGACCAATTGGTTCTGTCGTCTGGAATTCATGGAAATCGAGGAACCTCTCATATTTGCTTGACAAGAGAACTATAAGACTGGTCTCAGGTGCCAGCCTGCTATTTTCTGCCCCAAAGAGCCAATGGATTCAAGTGTTTCAGCGGATAAATCTATCATCTCAAACTGAGGATAGTTTGTGCGAAATAGTTGTAAGTGAATTTAGCTATCTTTTTCAAAGGATTACTCTGGTTCAATTTCTTTTGGATCACAGTTTCTTTTCTTTAAGGTTTACAATTATACAGCCTCATTCTTGGATCTCAATTAATCACAAATTGGACTTTGCCAAAATCTTACAAATATAACCAGCCAATCATATGAATTTTGCAAAACAGCCAACGAATGAAAGGGCATAAGCAAGTTATTTGGTTAGAAATATACAAATTCACTTGAACCTTGACAATTTTAGATGCATGTATCATCCTTATAATCACGAAATTCTGAGGGGTGATCTTGCTTGATGATGATTAATATGTTTATGGCCTCTTTTGAAGTTACATAATGCAAATAAAGATTCTGATATTCAGTTGCAAGTAATGCATACATAATTGTCTTTTGTTGTAAATTCAAGTGAAAAGTGAGATCCGGTAGGTTAAGGATAGATCTGAGTCTATTTGACAAACATATCAAGATAAAGAATAAGAAAAGTCATAGATTGATTTGTGACATCTAAGGAGCTGTATGAGGTGAAAATGTCTGTAATAGCGATGTACATAGTGATGTTATTGCTATGATTATCTAACAGTTCAAGTGCACTTGTGTCACGACCCAAAATCTCACCCGTCGTGATAGCGCCTATCTCGATACTAGGCAAGCCGTTAATGTCACTAAACCACAATTTCTTTTAAGTTTGAAAATATAATATTTAAATACAATACAAAATCTCCCAAATACAAATACGAACACTCCCCAAAACCTGGTGTCACTGAGTACATGAGCATCTAATATGAATACAAGTCTTGAAAGTATAGTCTATAATAGTCTGAGACCAAATACAATAAACAAAGAGATAGAGAAGGAGACACAAGGTCTGCGGAAACACAACAGCTACCTCAAAATCTCTGAAAATCAACCGCGCGAAAGGATCAACACCCTCTGTGTCCGGGGACACCTGGATCTGCACACGAAGTGCAGGGTGTAGTATGAGTACAACCAACTCAGCAAGTAACAATAATAAATAAGGAACTGAAGATAGTAACGAGCTACACAGTTATGGTTAATTTTCAGTAATTCCAGCAAAGAATAAACATGCTATCAAATCTGGCAGTTTAATGTCAAATCAATTTTTATACAGTTCCTGTTCATGTAATCCGTATATCAACAATCTTCCAGAGATTTCACAACAATGACAGATAGCAACTAAGTACAACAACAAATGAAAATCAAGTATAATCTCTTAGGACAACAATCACTTACTGGGCTCCCAACCCTCATCACTCCCTGGGCTCCCAGCCCTCATCACTCACTCTCAATGGGTACCCGCGCTCACTGGGGGTGTACAGACTCCGGAGGGGCTCCTACAGCCCAAGCGCTATAATCTGCACGGACAACTCACGTGCCATAATATAAATATCTGTATCCGCACGGCCAACTCACGTGCTATAGTATAAGGATCCGCACGGCCAACTCACGTACTATAGTATAATATCTCACAATCAGGCCCTCGGCCTCACTCAGTCATAAAGCTCTCCAGTCTCTAGGGCTCTCAACAATCATGAAATCAGCCCAAACAACAATGATATGACACATCAATAATGAACAATAGAGACTGAGACAAAATAATCAAGTAACTATGACCGAGTACAAAACAACAATTTAAGCAAATAATTCAACATGTACACGACCTCTGTGGTCCCAACAATACCAACATATAGCCTAAACATGGTTTCTAACCTGACTTATAGTCAAATTTCCACAACAATTAGAGAACACATAATTATCAACAAGTTATTCAACTTTACAGTTTCCACGGGACGGACCAAGTCACAATTCCCTCGGTGCACGCCCACACGCCCGTCACCTAGCATGTGCGTCACCTCCAAAATAATCACATGATACAAAAATCCGGTGTTTCATACCCTCAAGACCAGATTTAAAACTGTTACTTACCTCAAACCGTGTAATTCTTTATTCCGCTATGCCCTTTCCACGAGAATTGGTCTTCGAAAGCCTCGTATCTAGCCACAATTAATTCGATTCAGTCAATACCCATTATTATAATTAATTCCATAAGAAGATGCTAAGTTTTCCAATAAAATCCGAAATTAACTTCAAAAATCGCTCGTGGGGCCCGCGTATCGGAACCCGACAAAAGTTACAGAATATGAACGCTCATCCAAGTATCCAACCACGAGTCCAACCATACAAATTTCACCAAAATCTGACACCAACTCGAACCTCAAATCTTCAATTAAAGCCTATGAAAATTTTTACCATTTTCAACCCAATCCTTACCCATTTGAACTTAACAATCTTTCCACAACCTTATTGGTATGTATACATAATACTCTTACACCCAGGAATCATACTATAAATCACCCATTTTTACTCCAAACCCGAAATTGAAGAATTGAGGAAAGAAATTCTTACCTCTTTGAAGCCCTAACAAGATCCTTGTGAAATCTTCAAACCTTGAACAAGAATTGATGGATAAATGACTAAGTCTTCACTCTCTCTCTCTAAAATGCTTTCACCTCTCTCTAAAATATCAGATTTTGGCTCAAAAATGAGCTTCAAGGGCTATAAATCGAAGTTGGGTCGGGTAAAAAATTAGAAAGAATGGAAGCTCCGACGCAGTTATGTGGTCGCATATGCGATCGCATAACAGGTATGCGGTCCGCATACCGGCCGCATAATTTGGCCTCCAAAGCTGGGCGTTACTGACCCGGTCTGCGGTCATTATGCGGCGCATACTTGTTCTGCGGTCGCATAGTGCACCGCTGATTTTCCTCAAATCTTGCCCCTCTACTGATCCACTTTGCGACCATTATGCGGTCCACAGAGTAATTCTGCGACCGCATAGTGGTCGCAGAAATGACCCTTTTCCGACAAAATTTTCCTTTACACATCGGTACATTGTTCAACCCAAAAAGTCCGAGCCGCGGCTCGCAAACTCGCTGCGAGAAATTTCTTTAATCTTTGTACTAATTGATCTACCTCGGCACTACCAAACCTTAATTTCCTTAGCAAAATTTCTCCGAGGTCGTTACACATAAGTCAACATCCGGTCAACCTTTTCAACTTAAATTCTAAACCTTGGAACTAAGTGCTCCAAATCATTTCAAAACCTCACCGGACCCAAACCAATTACCCCGGCAAGTCAAATAATAACTGTAATTCACAATTTGAGCAATAAATGGGAAAACGGGATTATAATACTCAAAACGACCGGCCGGGTCGTTATAACTTGATACAGTGGAAGTTCAGTCAAATCATGGTTTTTGGGAATGGAACACCTTGTGCAGGGGCGTTTTTTGGGATTTTCTCTCTTGGAGGTTGGGAGGGCAAGTTAGTTAGATATTAATGACCTGTTTAATCACTTCATCTATAGACTTAGGATAAAAAAATGGAAAGTATTTTTTTTATAGCTTAGTAGTTTGGTTAGTTCTATATGAGATCATCAATTTGCTTGAGGCTTCTTTCTACACTTACACAATACATAAAAATTAATTTGAGTATTTTCTACTCTGTTTCAATTTGTATGATGGTGTTTGATTCGGCACAAAATTTGAGATACATTAATTTGACATGTATATTATTATACTGGTGGTAGTGAAAGCATATTAGTACAATAATGCTTGAAAAGTTAATGTAATAAAGAAAATATCAGATCAAATTTAAAATCTTAATAGCTGAATGAATTTTATTCTTGAAAGTCGTGAAAGTTGTATAACATAATATTAGGTCTAATATTATTCATGGAATGGTAAGAAATATTTTGGAACATACCAAAACGGAAAGAGTGTTTATATAAATTGAAATGGACGGAGTAGTTCTTCTAGGTTTTTCTTATTTATTCCTTTCCTGGTACATAAGCTATTCCAAACCAAAAATCACTGGGAGGGAAATTGTTTCAAAAGACTACAATCTCTTATAAGGTAGAAGAAAAGGATCAAGGTAAGTGATACCTACTAGTTGGTACTAAGACTTAGTTGTTTGTTAGGCGTGTATGCCGGAGAAGGGATAATGGTGAGGTTTTAGAAAAGTAATTTGCCTTGAAAGACAAAATTATAAATTAGTTAATAGTGGAATAAATTGTTCTCAAAGAGTGGAAAGTATATAGATAATTTAGATAGCCGACCTAATGTAGAATTGGATTGAGGTGGAATTGATGGCTTGATTGATATAGGCTATTTTAAACTGTAAGACCACCGCTTTTACCTTTGATGCAGCAGAGTGCTGAAGTTGCATCTGTTGATTTAGTCAACAACTGCTTTTCAAGTATTACACTCAAATAATATTGTGGTACATGGGATCGTTCTCTTAGTTATCTTAAAATTATCAGTTCAATTTGAATAGTTACAGTGATTGCTGCTGCAAATTCTTTTGGAAGGTAACTAAGTTGATTGGTTGGGCTACTCAAAAGTATGTGATTTCCTGATATGTAGTTGGATCTTCTTTGAGGGGAATGTATGTATTTTATACTGATATATGACTAGTTTTCTTTGCTGAGACCCAACTTCTGCAGGAGCTCTTGTTACTAGGATGTGTAGGGGACAGATGGAGTTCTCTAATTGATCGTTTGATGTTGAGCTCTTATGAGTTCGTCAACAATTCGAGGCTATACAATGAGGTGCATAACTTGGTACTGAGAGGTTGTAGAAACATTTGTTGTAGAGAGGACATCGAGAACTCAAAGGTAATTGTTTCTTATAATCAAATCTCTTCATTGTCTAATAGCAAGAGCTGCACATTATGCCTATGCATATGCACCTTGCAATGGTTAACTGAAATTGACAGTATTTTTTTGTGTCATCTGTGGATTACACAACTGTATAGATCTAGATATAGGTTAGATCATCTTCTTTTTTTTTTTAATGATTTAGTTTGTCCATTACATGAATTTATTTTCTTACTTCCTTACTTCGTAATGTACATAAACTTTTTGGGAGGAAATACTAATAGTATGGGACATGGTTGTGTTTAGTTAGAACTTAGAAGACATAACATCATGTGAGGACACTGAAATAGAAAGGTACAAATTATACTGTGTAAACAGCAAATCTGTGCTGTATCCAACTACTATGTACCTATACTTCAAAAATCATTGTCAAGACATAAAAATCATTTGAGAACAATCAAACTGAAAGGTCTGATTTATACCGCGTTAAACAACAAATCTATGCTGTATCAACTATGTATCTGTACTCAAAAAATCATTATCTTACATTTCAAGTAAGGCAAGGTTTACTTATTTGTTGGGTTCGTCTCCATGTCACACATTTCCACTTAGATGAACATTTTACCTATTTTAATATCTTTTTGAGCAAGTTTTTTGTCCTCTTTGATTTTATTCATTTTATTTTTTTTTAATTTTTCTTTTTAAGTTTATCACTTATATCCCGTGGAAACTATAGCATTTGCAAAATTGCAAAAAGGCGAGAACATGAACATTCACCTTGAGATATTCAACTTTTACTGCTCTAACATGCGGTGTATCTTAATTTTTCTCTAGTTCTTAAAATCTCTCTTGTATTAAACTGTGTGTAAACTGTGCATTTTTCTTTGATATGCCTTCATTGTCAAGTTTCCACATACTGAGCATTCTTACACATAAAGGAAATTGGACTCCATTAGAAGACAATTCTTATGGGATGGGAATGAAAACAAAAGGAAAACCCACCTGGTCAAGTGGCAATTGGTTACTGGAGATAAGAAAACAGGGGGTTTGGGAGTGAGAAATCTGAAACTACATAATAAAAGCTTGCTTTTCAAGTGGCTATGGAGATATAGTAGGGGAAGTGAGGAAGTTTGGCAAAAACTGTTGGATGCTATCTATGGTGAAAAGGAGGGGTGGAGACAATATCACACACAGCTAAAATCAAGTGGAGGAATCTGGAAGAAAATAAGTGAAGGGTGGGATGAATTCTTACAGTATACAAGGTTAGAGGTTGGTAATGGTGCTAGAATCAAACTTTGGCTGGATGTTTGATATGGAGATGAAAGTTTCAAAAATAGATTTCCAGTTTTCTTTAGCTGTGCTGTGAACAAAGAGGGATACATTACTGATTTTAGTCCAGATTCAGGCTGGCATATTACATGTAGAAGGAACCTGAATGACTGGGAATTGGATAGCTTCTGCCAAATGCTTCAAAATCTGAACACAGGCCAAATTGAAGTGGACAAAGCAGACAGTTTAATTTGTTAATTTAGCAGGGATAAACTGTTTTCAGTAAACAATTGCTACAAAATGCCATTACAACAGAATAGCCTGGAGATTCCCAATTGGCCCTGGAAAATGATTTGGAAAGCCAAGGCACCTTTGAAAGCAACTTGTTATGGATGGATAGCAGCCAGGGAGGCTTGTTTAACTCAGAGTAATTTGCAAAGGAGAGGCTTTCCCATGTGCAGCAGGTGCTATCTCTGTAATATGGAGCAGGAAACAGTGGAGCATCTATTTCTACATTACAGGTTTTCAAGACAATGCTGGGAACTTTTCCTCAATATCATTGGTTATACCACAGAAGATCAGTAGCCTTATGGAAATTTGACATTCTCAGAGAATTAGAAGAAATTTGAAGTAGATATGGAGGACCATTCCCAACTGTATATTGTGGACTTTTGGCTGGAAAGAAACAAGGCATGCTTTGAGGGGAAGAGGCTGCAGATTGATAGAGTCAAAAATGTATCAAGATCTTATATTATTGGTGTTATAGCAGCAGTACTCTAGATAGGATGGATCAATATTTGGACTTTTTGTATCTTTTAGGGGGAAACATGTAGTGTGAGTGGTGGGAGTATTGCTGATTTGCTTTGTACTTGTTTCTGTACCATCTTGGTACCATATTAATATAAGACTTCACATACCATTTGTATCTCCATTTCCCTATGGAGATGGGGTTGCATCAGGGATAATGCCTTAGCCCGTTTTTGTTTGCCCTAGCGTTGGATGTGCTGACACGACACATACAAGGGAGGGTGCCATGGCGTATGTTATTTGCTGACGACATAGTTCTTATTGACGAGAGGGGGTGTTAACGCTAGGTTGGAAGTTTGGAGACAGACGCTGGAGTCCAAAAGTTTCAAGTTGAGTAGGTCGAAAACTGAATACTTTGGAGTGCAAGTTTAGTGATGAGAGGCATGATGAAGAAGTGGAAATAAAGATTGATACCCAAGTCATTCCCACGAGAGTTAATTTCAAGTATCTTGGGTCTATAATCCAAGGCAACAGGGAGATTGATGAGGATGTTACCCACCGCGTTGGAGCGGGTTGGATGAGATGGAGGCTAGATTCGGGGTTTTTATGCGATAAGAATGTGCCGCCTAGACTTAAGAGAAAATTCTACGGGGTGGTGGTTAGACCGGCTATGTTGTATGGAGCTGAGTGTTGGCCCGTCAAGAAGTCCCATGTCCAGAAGATGAGCGTAGCTGAAATGAGGATGTTGAGATGGATCATGAATGAATTTTTTAGGGACAAGGTGGGAGTGGCATCCGTGGAAGCCAAGTTCCGGGAATCGAGGTTGCGATGGTTTGGGCATGTGAGAAGGAGAGACATAGATGCCCCGGTCAGAAGGTGTGAGAGGTTGACCATGGCAGGCTTGAGGAAGGGCAGGGGTCGGCCTAAGAAGTATTGGGGAGAGGTGATTAGGCAGGACATGTCAGTGCTTCACCTAACCGAGGACATGACTAGCGATAGGAAGGTGTGGAGGTCGATGATTAAGGTGGTGGGTTGACGGTTAATTGTGAGTTTCTTCTAGGTTTACCAGTAGTACTAGTATTCTTGTTGTTGGTTGAAAGTTAATTCCTTTTAATTTGTTATTATGTTTGGTACCTAGCAATCTCATCCATTATTTTTGAAAATTGTTGCTGGAAATTGTTGCTCCATGATTGTTACTATTTGATGCTACTCTTTATCCCTTTTACTGGAAATTGTTGCTCCCTGATTGTTACTATCTGATGTTACCTTTTCTCCTCTTTTTCCTTATTATCTTTTGTCTCCCTCGTCTTTCTTTCTCCCCCCTCTTTCTTCTTCTTCTTTTCTATCTTATCTTGAGCCGAGAGTTTATCAGAAACAACCTCTCTACCTTCCCAGGTAGGGGTAAAGTCTGCGTACACACTACCCCCAGACCCCACTTGTGGGATTATACTGGGTATGTTGTTGTTGTTGTTGTTGTTGTTGTTGTTTTTCACTTGTTAAAAAAAAATAAAAAATCTCCCTGTGGGTGGTTTTATAGTCCTTTTTTCCCCCTCTTTTTTATTTATAACAGGGAAAAGGAATTATAGAGTACCTTGAAGTTTTCTTACACAATCGGTTATATCTCTTGGGGGAACTATCTCCAGTCCTAGCAGCATTTGCAATTCCTTCCTGGTATACCTTTCAAATTATATGCTGTTGCCTGTTAGTTTTTCTCATGTGATTAATTCTTTTACACCACTGAGCTTACAGACTTCATATTTTTTGGAATTTATCAATGAATAGCTGGTTCAATTAATGCAGGTCAAATTTGTTCAGAAAATATCTGACGGAGCTTGATGCTCAAGTTATAGGAGATTTTTCATTGACTAGGTAAGTAATTTCTTTTGTGTCGCATGCTTCAGTTGGTTATACTGATTTTTCAGTTTTTCTTGGCTAAGAGCTTTGTCCTGCTGATTATTCTTCCTTGCTTTTCTTTTATGCAGATCCTATGGTAGTACTAAGGAAAAGAAGGAGCATAGAGAATGTGGGTTTGCTATGATTTCTTGCTATCTTCCTGTCATTTTGTATTAATATTATATATAAAAACTGTTTGACTATGATAATGTCTTGCAAAACTATGCATTGAAATGTTTCATAGACTATTTTATCGTGAAGGCCTTTCTGTGAAATATTCAGTTAATGTCTTTCACGTAGCCAGGATTTTTACTAAGTTCAGATTTTATTATTAGGCCTTAGGTAACAATTTTTATTAGTTCTGAAATTCTCTTTAATTTATAATTACCAGATCTTGTAAGGAACTCTGGAATACGGGTGGGTAGATTGCAAATCAAATATTCATTCTAGTTACAGTTAAGGAGATAAAAGTCTTCAGGCATAAGCAACCTTTCATGTTTTAGTTACACCTAGCTGTAGGTAATATTTACTTAGGGTTTCTCAGTTGTTTCCTGCCATTAGGATAAAATTAATACCCTTCTAATACTGGTTTAGAAGCTGGACCTATCGGCAGCTTTCTTTTGATGCTTATGTGTCCGTGACATTATTCAAGACGAGATCACTAAGTGACCAAGTGTAAAAGAATTTTGCTAGTGAACAACAACTGGTTGGTGATACCTTTTCAGGCATTAAATAGTTTCTCTATGGATATTTGGGTTTTCAGAGATTATGCAATAAAATATCTTGTTTCTGCTATTTGGTTTCTCATAGGTTGTCATGTTAGATGTTCATCTCTTTCTATTCGGAGGATTTTACTCTTAAGTACTGATTTATGTTCAATACTTCCAGTTGATGTGGCCGAGAGAATTTGGTGCCTTCATGTTTGTCATGTTGGTGGTTCTGATAGAGAATCTGGTTCATTTAGCACTTGACAATATATTTCTCTTGAAGGAGTAATTGGTAAGCCTCGCTTCTTAAATATGTTACTTGTAACTCTTTCTTTTTTGTGCCTTATTGGGTATGTGAACTGAATATTTCGCCATTGAGTTTCAACTATTGGTAAGACGGTCATACTGATGGAGGAGCCTGAGTTTTATAATTTCATTTTTAAGAGGGATAAGAGCTGTGAAAGAATTTTGGTGGCATATAGACCCTTACTCATGATAAAAACCTAACCGTAAAAGTATTTCCATTGTTTCTTGCTATGTTTGCTTAAGATTGAATGCGCAAAGTATTAAGCGAAAACCTTTCCTCGCCAAGCTATTTACTGCTCTTTCATTTGGATATCTCTAATTTGATTCCCTAACCCGTCCTTGGCTTCCCTGTCCAATAGTATTACAACTTTCGCTTCATGTTGACTCCTTGAATTAGGATCATGTCTTATTATATTAGAAGGTAAAAGGTTAATTTTGGATCTCTTCTTCATTCATAAGCCTCACTTTTTCTATTATATTTCTCTTATTCCAATTAAAAGATAGGAAGAAAAGAATAAGCAAAAACAGAAATCCTTAAAGCAATAGACAAAAGTGAACAACAAAGAGAGATGTGTGGAAAGATGCCGAAGCATTCTGTGACACGTATCCCTTTTAATTCTGTTCTTCTTTTGCTTGTTTGGACATTAGTCCTTTCAGTTCGGGTGGGAGTGGGGTGGGGGGCTCTTCCCACATAAGTGATGAGGTAGGCCTTCCCTTGACATCATAACAAGTTCCTCCTTTCATAATGACTTTAGGAAAGAAAATATCACGGACAATGAATGTGTTGTGTTGTCAAGATTCTATCTAATCCTTGATTAGTGCGTTAGTACAAAAAAATGATGTTACATCAATAGGAAGAGCCTTTTGTTCTGTTTTGAAGGTTGGACCGTCAGGACCTACAAGAAGCAACACACAGTTGTCGCGTTTGGTATGAGTGAGGGCCCTTTCCACTCACTGCCTATGTGAAATGGACATCCAATATTAGCAAAGCTGATGCCTACAAATGGAATATATACACTTGAAAAGCACATATATTATTCCACTTTACACATTCCATTAGAAATGTGGGTTTGAAGTCCCCTACCCAATAGAGATTTACTTTCTTGTGTTTAGGAAAGCAGGTGAAGGTCGAAAATCTTGATGATGGGAAGTTCGAAGAAGCTCCATATGTTGAAGTGTCAAGGATGGAGAGTTGCACACTGCAGCTCTGCTGTTACACCGGTTAGTGTTGAAAGAAGAGCACCAGTTAATTGTTTTCAAGGACTTTATATTGCTAGGCAGTTATATTGGAGGTTAAAGTCACAGTGGAGGCAACTTTTGTCATGGCGGAGAAACTCAGTCCGCTTTAGCTATGATCCTTACAGCTACTCTCAGAATTTTGATGATGGTTGCTCTAAGGAACACCGATCACCTTCAGCTCCTCAGTAATTTTCATCTTTTTCTTAGAGCATTATAATCAACAAGTAACGACAGGGTTCCGGCTTCAGTTGCCTGTTGAAGCATGAAGAATGGCAGATTGCTCCTCTAAATATCAGGACTTCAATTTGGCAAGTTAGGTAGAGAATTTGGTGATCTTTCCATTGCATAAAGCTTTACATACAACATACTTTTCTCAATTATTCACTTGATACTACTATTATTTACAGGTTTCTCTGTACTTTGGTATTATTGATTCTGTAGTTAGATCTGAAAGTATATGTAAAAGTTTAAGAGTGGAGACTTTCGCATTCACAGCTTAATACTGAATTAGAGCTAGTTGAACTATGTCAAAAGAATATTTTCTGGCTGAAGTAGTTTGACAATGCAAATTAACCTCCATTTCTTCCTTTTCTGCATAGTGTTAAACTTTTCGATGAACTTTATCAAAAGAAAGTGCTTGAGTAGCAAATGTGGCCCTCCACTTTATCTTGTCATAGTTTTTTTTCCCCCAAGGCGCATCAGCTGGGATAAGAAATAACTCAGCGGTTGATTTACTTTTTGATGTTGAATGCATTTGTTAAGATTATCAATGGGATAAAGAGAGGAAATTATTTACAGACACTCATATTTACACTAAACTAAATAATTTAATCATAATTGCCAATTAAAGTGAAAATATAAATCACTTTTATCATGATTAAGCGATAAAAGTTTATGTAAATGACATGTATTTTGCATTTAATTGTTTAGTGTAAATACATACTGAGTAAGTTCTTTTCGATAATAAATACCTCTTCTCGGGATAAACAAATGGGTGCTTTTTACACCTTGCATTTCGTCTCTCTACCACCAACCATTAATACCTAAAACAATCTAGTAACTATGAGTATTTGCAAATGCTATGCATGTCCAAATCTCTGACTCTTCTGTGGTCTATAATTTTTCTTCCTTTTACAGAAAGACATATTGACATAAGTAATTATCAGATTGTGATGAGATTCTAAAATAAAGATTTCGTGTTATGTTCGAGTACGAGTGAGGAAAAAAGAGAGAGGTTAGACATGGGTTACCATTCAGCATGTTTCTATCATCCTTCTATCATAATACTATTAGGTAGTGGGTCTATTTGATGCTTTCTCGGGCTTTTTTAACTTTTAACTCGTGCCATAAATTATTTCATTCAGTAGTAAAAAAAATATATAAAATTTATATATAACATACAAAATATATATATATATATATAAAATCTATTTTTTCGACTATTATTTTGAGAGTTCTGTTCATATTAATATAGATGTAACTAATTAACATTGATTTTCTAAAGGTAAGAGGACAAAGAATAAATGAATTAGAATTAAGACAATAAATCATGTGACAAAAGTGACTGGTCTATGTTAGCCCCACCTAAAAATTTCGATGACTACCATGACTATAAGATAGATATTGATATTGATATTGATATTGAATGATTAAAGCCAAAAAAGTTGAGCTGTATTTATCAAACATGAAGTTGTTCTTTTCAGAAAAGTAGAGCAAGACCATGTCACATGTGATGCATATAACACTTTTGCTAATCCCTAAGAAACCAAAGTTTAATTATTTGTAAAAATATATTTATTGATCGAATCCTTGATAAATGAAAAGAGATGTTATGCATGAATCACTCACATATTCTACTGACACAATAACATTTTCTTAGAACACACTTTTCACTCCAAAATGGGTAGAAAACTAGTGTTCTTTTTGGTCCTCACAAGCGTATTGATTGGCTTGGGAGAAGCAGATCATTGGAACATCTTGAATTCAATAAAAAAGACCAGAAATGTTATTGGTGTTAAAACAAGTTTGAAGAATTATTGTGAGAGTTGGAGGATCAATGTGGAGCTAAATAACATTAGGGGCTTTGAGTATGTTCCACAAGAATGCACACATTATACATGGAAGTACATGACTTCAACTCAATATAAATCAGATAGTGAAAGGGCCATTAAAGAAGCCCAACTCTACTCGAGTAATCACTGCAATTTGAAAGGTGACGGTAAAGATGCTTGGATCTTTGATGTCGATGGCACCCTTATTTCCACCCTCCCATTTATCAAGAAACACAGTTTTGGGTATGTCCAATTTCTTTTCTACTTCATTTAGATACTTTGATCTCAAATACTAGCTAGATGTTCTGGTATACTAAATTTGTTTCAAAATATTTGACGTTCTAGAAAAACTAATTAACAAGAAGACATTTACTATTTCCCCCCAAATCTACTCTAAGCGAGACGTAACATAGTACATCTTCTGAATTAGACTATTAAATGTCTTTCTTAAGACTTAAGAGGAGTACAAAATCTTTAAAAACAGATAAATCTTTAAAAACATATACTATAGACCATCGATAGTTTCTGAATTTTTTTCTTTAACTTATTAAAGAAAAATGATTCTTGTTAATTTTAATTTGAGTTTGTCCTGGAGGTTGAACCTATCTAGTTTGGAAGGGTGGATGAAAGAGACAAATGCACGAGCAGTGGAGCATGGTCTTAAACTCTATAGTGAGATCAAAGCTAAAAGGCTATAAAACTTTCTTGATCTCTAGCGGAAGAGAATGCCTAAGGGATGCTACTGTTGACAACCTAATCAAGGTTGGTTACCACGGATGGTCTGGTCTCATCTTGAGGTACATCTTTCATCAAGAATTCATTCTTTAAATTTCTAAACAAATTTAGCTTATATATAGTGACAGTGTAAACAACATTTACATTATTCTAATGGAAAAAGGTATAAGCATTGTGCTTACTGATGCCGAGCGCGAGTCTGCCTCCGAGGAACAAGTGAATAATTTGAAGGCTACCTTGAGCTCCAAAACCGAGGAGGCTAACGCCGCCAGGGAGAAGAAGGCCAAAATGGAAGAGAGGTTCACTACTAGAAATTCGGCAAAAATCGACCACGGTCGACCGACCAATTTTGGTCGGTCAAAAAACTGACCAAAGTTGGTCGATTTTTCAAAATATTATATTTTTTACTTTTCAGAAAAATTGAGCTGTATTTATCAAACATCACTTTTCGGCAATTTTTTTTAAAATTTAATTGACCGACTTCCTCCCGACCTTCAAAATACCGACCACACGTTAATGGTCGCGTTTTGGACGGTTATTGGCCATTACCGACCAACTTTGGTCGGTTGTTTTGGACGGATTTTTCTGAATTTCTAGTAGTGGTTCAAGGAGATCATGGAGCAAAACCGAATTCATCTATCTACAACTCGTGATCTTGATACCAGTCTCGGTGCCATGAGATCCGAGAGGGACAACCTTCAGGCCGAGGTTGACATGCTTAAGGCAAAGCTTCAATTCCAAGAGGATTCCCTCGTGTTTGAGAAGACGTATGATATTCATCATATGAGGAGAAAAACTTTGGAAGAGGCAAAAGCGGGCATCATCGATATTGATGATTGCATCACCAAGGCCCGAGAACTGGAGCTAACTGCCCCAGAAAGTCTCCCTGCTCAGCCTGCTGCAACCGACTATTCGAGCACCGGTTTCGAGTATTCGGGAATTGAGGATGAAATTGAAGAGAATGATGATGAAGGTCCAGGCCCCGAACCGACAGCTGATCTACCCTCTTCCACCGAGGGGCGCAGATGGCTATCTCCCCCAGGGCTTTAAAGACAATAATACTTAGATTCTTTCCCCTTATTGTTTTTCTTTGTACTTTTGTAATTTTGCCAAATTCTTCATTGAGTTTGGCACTTCTGATAAATAAATAAGAATTTGCTTAAGTGTTGTGCAAGATGTATTTTCTTTGCATTGAATTAAATAAAGCTTCGGGCATATTTTTATCCGATAGCTTCTGATTCGGGGCATAAATTCTTCCGTAATCAACCCTTTACTATGAGGGTTTCATAAAAGAGGGCCCTCTTATGTTTACGGTGCTCTTGAAGAGGACGTCTTCTGTTCATTTCGGCACAAGCATTTGAAGTTTTTTGCTAACTTTCAAATGATAAAATTAACTCATCGTTTGGAAAAGAAACAAGATAAAATAAAAGGATTTCATTTTATTCCTTCTATCTTTAAAAGTAAATAAGCATTTGTTTGCTAAAGGAAAAAAGAAGCTGCCAATACATGTGGCTAACTTGTACAACTTATTATTACGGGGCTGGCCATGTAGTCCCCGGTCCCGATGAGACATTATTGTTTTCGGTTTTCGCAGTCCCCGATTTTTGTTGCATTCTTGTTCCTGTATATGGTACTATTCCCCCAGTGTTCGAATACAAAGTATGCGAATTGAAATACTGAAAGTCTTGCTTCGTTGGTTGAAACACTTGTGAACGGTTGAATAGTCTTTGGTTCGATGGCAAGCTTTGCTTCCCATTAGGAACTTGCCATCAAGCCAAAGATTATTTAACCATCCCGTAGTGGTTTATCATTTCAATACCTAGTCATTTAAAGGTCTTAACCTTTCCGATGACGCTCCTCTCGTAGTATGCTTTTCGTTACTACCTCATTAAAAACCTTTTGAGGTGATTCACGATCCAATTGCTGGGCAATTTGACTCCATCTTGATTTTCTAATTCATACGATCCCTTATCGGTAAAAGCTAAAACCCGGTAGGGACCTTCCCATGTTGGACCGATCTTCCCAGCATTGATTTTCCGAGTGCTATGAGTCACCTTTTTCAAAACCAAATCTCCTACTTTGAAGTAGCGGAGATTGGCCCTCCGATTATAGTATCTTTCCATTCTTTGCTTTTGAGCCATCATCCTCACGTGCAGGGGTGTTCGTAAGAACCCGAAAAATCAAACCAAACCGAACCGAACAAAAAAACCGATACTTTGTAGGTTTGGTTTGGTTTTGGTTTTGGTTTTGAATTTTAAAAATCGATCAAATTTGATTTGGTTTTGATTTTAATAAAAAAATAACCGGAAAAAACTGAACCAAACCGACTATAAAAGTAGCTATTTAAATTTATTATTATACCTATATATATGTATATTTTTATATAAAGTTTCTAAAATTTTATGGTACATATTAGTCATTTGTATTTTTAGTCTGGTTCTTTGCTATTACAATAATCTAATTCTTTGCTTTTACATTCTAATTTGATTGGTAGTTTTCTTTTGCTAAGTATAAGAATTTATTTCATATTAAAAATAATCAATTTTTAATTGAGTACTTAAATTATTCATCACTATTTGGTTCAATTATCATCAATATATCTTGGTAAATGATAGATTTCTCAAAGAGCAATTGATTTGATAGTGTTACATTGAAAATATAGTCGCCGGAATATGCGTTTGGTAGTGTATGTCTCATATTTAAATGACAAAAACCGAAAAATGATAAAAACCGACAAAAACCGAATCGATAAAAAATTGACTTAATTGGTTTGGTTTGGTTTCAATATTTGAAAAACCGACTTA